CTTTGCATTTGATAATGAATGATAGTTAACTGGTGAAATAGCGTTAGGTGTGATGTTCTGAATGCTTTTTCTGTGGTTCATATCTTTGATTCAGCTTTTTTTTTGTATGGAATTTGATGTAGGTTTATACTGCAAGAAGGTCTCTGGATTTCATTGAGCAGCTGCTCTCGGAAGCTGTTGTGTACGTCTTCCCCTATTATTGATTATAGAATATGTAATATGCATTCTACTTTAATTTTTGTTAACATGCCAAGACTTTCTATTTTCAGTCTACAAATCGAGGAGGAGGAGCTATTTGTTGAGATCTCTGGAATTTTGTCAACAGCACGGTGTTGGGAAGAAAGAGCAAGCGGTATCCTTGCAAGTGAAACTCAGATGTACGACCTTAAAGATCTGGCAAGGTATATAACTTTTGTTCAAGCTTGTAAATATTTTTACTTCAGCACATGCTTAGCTTTTCTTAAGTCTTTTATTCATCAAAAGATGTTTGTTCCTAGGATGTCAATCAACATTGATGCGGTTTTGCCTTCTCTGAAGGGCATAGAGAACACAATCTCATCGGCTGAAACTTGGCTTCAGAAATCTGAGCCTTTTTTATCAGCCACTTGCTCTGTGGCATCATCTCCATGTTCTCTGCTTGAACTTCCTGTATTAAAGGTTTGTCTGCCTGTAGTTTCGGGTTTTTTTTTTTTTTTTTTTGTGTAACAGATGTGATATTTGAAGTATTCAATGCTTATATTTTGGCAGGACCTAGTTAATCAGTCTAAATCGCTTAACGTTCAGCTTCAAGAGCCACGAATTCTTGATACATTGTTGCTTAATTGCGAAAGATGGCAGTGTGATAATCATCAGCTCTTGCAAGAAACTGAGGATTTGTTGGACAATGCGAAAATAGATGATGGCATGCATAACAATATCCTTCCGAAGATTTTGGATTTGATAACCAGAGTGGACTCTGCTAGAAAATCTGGTCTGTCCCTTGGTCTCAATTTCGATGAACTTCCCAAACTTCAAACTGCAAGTCTAAAACTAGGATGGTGTTGTAAGACCATCACGTTAAGCTCTAGCTCACCTTCATCTGAGGTACAAATAGATTGCTGAATTTTTATTGTTTTTTGACACTTGGTACCCCTTTTGATTGTTTAAGTGTGTCTTTAAATGGCAGTTGCTAGAAGATGTAGGAAAGCCCTCGTTACAGCAAATTCAGCAGCACTTAAAAGAGGTATGTTCGGATAATATATCAACTTCCTACACATACTAAGATGTCTTTGGGTCTTGAAGCACTATCCTTCTCTTTGGATTTTCAGTGACACCACAGTTATCTGGTTTATGAGTTTCGTCATTTTCTTATTGACAGGGACAAACACTGGAAATATTACCCGAAGAGTATTACCTAGGTAAGAGACTAATGGAGTTAGAAGACAGTGGACTGGAGTGGGCAAAACGAGCTAGAAAGGTACATAACCAACACACGGTTTCTCAGTTAATCGCTTATAATCTCTTTGGAAAGTTTAACTTATACGAGAGCTATTGGTTTTATCTGCAGGTGGTGACAGACTCGGGTGCTCTTGCCTTAGAAGATGTTGTTGAGCTTATTTCTGAGGGTGAAAACTTACCTGTCCATGCAGAGCAGGAACTTCAGGTTAATATATGAAATGAATGTTAACAAAGCTTAACACATAACCTTACCATTATCTAAAACTGTTTGTATCATGGTTGATTGATGCAGTCTTTACGAGCTCGGAGTATGTTACACTGCATTTGTCTAAAACCATACAACTCAAGATCCATGGTTTCTTGTAGTCAATGTGGCGAATGGTATCATACCTATTGTTTAAAACTTCATTGGCGGCCTAAGGCTTATGTCTGCTCCGCTTGCTGTCCACTGGCGGAATCCACTCCACTGATTGATCCCGCCAGGTTTGTTCCTTTGCCATAAAAGCTTACTCTAAACCACATAGCTACACACTTCTATTCACATCGATCTTAGATTTTTAAAAGCATAACCATCAAAAGCTACCTATTATGTGGTTTCTGTTATGCCTAGTGGCTTAAACCTAGAATGTTTGCAGGTTCTTTACGATACTTTACACTTCTTGCCATTTTTCTGAACCCCTTTATTTGATTGATCTCTATTAACAGAGCAAAAGAGCCAGAGACACCGTCTCTGAACCAAAGACGGACAAGAATGGTTGCGACTGATGACTTACGGTGGAAAACCCGAAAACACATCAAACGGACAACTAAACGGTGTCCTCAGGTTCATATTCTTCCCTGGTTTTTCACTTAAAAACCAAGATAATAATCTCTTGAGGGTATGATTTATAGAGCAATTTCATTTATTCAATTTTAGATTGGATTTCTCTAATCCTTTTGTAATGTTTCCATTGGAAGATGGAGAAGTTAAAATAAAAGGTTTTGGACTTAATAATTTGCCAGGTTATTGGATCTTTTATTTTTTTTAACCGAATCATTGGATCTATAACTTGAATTTGTATTATGTAGTACATAATACAAATCACAACTATGTATAGAGGAGATATTAGCTTAGATCTTAAAGTTAAGACTTGTTTCATGCTGTAATGTTTTATTCAAGTTTAACACATTTACCATTGAATTTGTAATCTTATCAAATTATAGTTATGTATTTTGGTATGTGAACTTCATTATTTTTTTTTTGAAATCTCTCAATATTTAAACTCAACAAACTCTACCAAAATCAAACTACCAGCAGCTATTAGAGTTTTGAAACCCATTTGGACCACAAATGTGTGAAGAGAATCATATCTCTCAATCCCCACAAATACATGAGAAGTAAAATAAATAAAAAAGCAACAGTTGAGATCACTTTCCTTACAAGAATCAGAGAGAGACCCACTTTTGATGACATCATGGTTTCACAGACCCACAATCATATCTCTCTATATATGTATCATAATGTGTAAATGTGTTGTGAAGTAATAAGTAAGGGACTTTCATAGAAACAGAGCCTTCTTGTACCTTTCCAGACACCATCCTCAAGCTGAAAGCTTCCTTCAACACTCTTCTTCCATTTTTGAATATCTATCTACTACATTTATTGTGATTTCACACTGTCCATATCTTATTTATTTATTGAAGTTATTAATGTTATATGTAGATGACAATGGACTAATTTGTATATGTTTATAGCTATTTATGTGAGAAGAACAAGTTAAAATTTGTATAAGTTCAGTAATGGTCGGCCTCAAATTTTTCCTATCATGAAAATTGCTAAGTAAAAAAAGACAAGTCACATTAATTTAGGTAAAAAGTTGGCAAAAACAAAAAGTGAAAGAAGGGAAAGTCAAAACTATTTATTTTATTGTCAAAGTCAAGATTGTTGACATTAAAATGTAAAGATTATTCAGAAATGGATTGGGAGTAGCAAAACAAATCCAATTAACCAAAAAATAACCATATCTAAAAACTTTATTTATATCTAGCACCAAATTTTGACTATTTGGATTTTTTGGTCGGGTTCTTTAGCCACCGGATATTAAATGCATCATACGAACTTTCAAATTAGGTGGAAACAAAATATGTACGTATATATATTTAATTAATAGATCACTTTCAAAACTTTTGAAAGAAAATAAAAAAGAATTTTAGATAAAAAGTAAAAGAGAAAAAAGGGGAATATAAAAATGGGAAGAAAATAAAGTTAGGAGAGAGGGCTCACTGTCCGAAGCAAAGAAAGAAATAGCAAAGTGATTAAGACATGTGAGAGAGAAGAGATTCAAGTGTGTCCCCATTCTCTCTCCTTTCTTTTAGTCAACAACACATCTCTCTCATACATCACTTTTCTAATCAAGATTAAAATTTCTTTTTTAAAAAGTTGTTTTGTTTAACAACAAAATTTGTTCTATTTTTTTTTTCTTTTAACATCTTAATTCAAATTAAGATGATATGAAATCAAGTGACACTAGTCTTGCCTCTTGTCAAAGTATTAAGGCTTTTATTAATTTCTCTTTAAATTTCACATTATATCAATTATAAGAAAAAAAAAACATAACACTAAATATATCCCATATAAAAAAACTAGATAGTGCAGTAGAAGAACTAATATATTACATGATGTAATAAGCTAAAATGTCAACTATATTCTTTTTGACTATTTAGAAAGATAGAAAATCTCAATTGGTAGCAATTTTTATGAGAATATAGCACATAATTTAATACATGAAAAGCATAAAATTTCAAAAATGAATATAGTAATAAATTTCGTTCTCAGTCAGAGATCTAATGAGACATTAGATTTTGTAATAAATCATCAAAGTCTATATCCTTTTTAATAAAATAAATATTCTTAAACAAACTAATTAAATATTCTAAAAAAGGTAGAAAAAAACAATTGAATATATCTTTCACAAAATTAAATAACAAATAAATTAAAGAAATATATAAATAGGAAAACAATGGTCGTCACTCTCCTTCTCTTCTTTAGTCTTCTAACTTTCAGAGAAGAAGGCCTCTCTCATTTCAAAAGTTCACAATATTGAAAATAAAAATCAGAATTATTTCACAATATATCTTTTTCTCTTCTCTCTGATTATTTGTCTCTTCTGTCTTCTTCCTTTGTCTCTCCTCTGATATACAGTACATTGTGTTCTCCTTCTCAGAAACCCTAGATTTCGAGATTTGCTTTCTTTCGCTGCAAGACTGTAACAGTAGGAGAAGCTACTTTCCTATGTTGTCGTAATTTCAAATCTGCAATTGTACTTTTTCGAGTTCTATAAGTGAACTCAAGATTTTAGCTTTTTTTTTTCTAGGGTTCATAAAAACAATTTGGATCTTGAGCTCACAGCATAAAGAACTCGACTTTGATTACTGGGTAATTAAAAAACCGCCATTGTTGTCCGCTTTATTACTTTGGGGAATTAGGGTTTACGATTTCTGGGTATTAGATTAGATAAATTTGTTTCCTTTTTTTTTTAACAAGTTTAAAAATCTCTTCTTTCTCTTAAAGACTTGTCATTTTAAAGTTTTTAATGCATGGACGGAAGAGAAGCAATGGCATTTCCAGGCTCGCATTCTCAGTTCTATCTTCAAAGAGGAGCCTTTACCAATCTTGCACCTTCCCAACTCGCGAGTGGGCTTCACGCGCCGCCGGGAACGAGGCCAATGTCGAACCCTAACATTCATCACCCTCAGGCTAACAATCCAGGACTTCCTTTCTCGGATTTTGGACACAGCATTCACATGGGGATGGCTGCCTGTGCTTCTCCTGCTGCGGTGCAGCCGACTCTGCAGCCGCCACCGCCGCCGCCACCACCGGAGCAACCGATGGTTAAGAAGAAACGTGGACGGCCAAGAAAGTATGTTGCTGATGGACAAGTCTCTCTAGGGCTTTCTCCAGTGCCTTGTGTTAGTAATAAGTCTAAGGACTCTTCTTCAATGTCTGATCCTAATGCACCTAAACGAGCTAGAGGTCGACCTCCTGGAACTGGAAGGAAGCAACGCTTGGCTAATCTTGGTGAGATCTTGAGTTATTTTTCTGTGTAGTTTGTCAAGTTAAGTTGTTGTTTTAGCTCTGTTAGGTTTTGTTGCTTTGGCTTTGTCGTTAGTGCTACTCAATATTGATTGTTAGGTATCAAATTGACTGATCCATGTGTGGTACAATGTGAGTTCAGATAGTAGTTGGTCATTAGAATGTGGTTGGCCAACATGGTAAAAGTAGAATTGGAAGAAATCGAATTCTTGGTTTAAGATACATAATATGTAAGCTTTGGATGATTGGTCATTATAATGTGATTAGTTAAACTTTAAGTAACAGCAAACTCTTGACTCTGTTAATTTCTTTAGGTGAGTGGATGAATACTTCAGCTGGACTTGCTTTTGCACCTCATGTGATCAGCGTTGGAGCAGGAGAAGTAAACTCTCAAAACTCCTTTGAATCTTAATGATTTATGAAGCTTTTCATTGTTTCAATTTCCTTTTATTTTTCTTGCAGGACATTGTTTCGAAAGTTTTGTCATTTTCGCAACAAAGACCTCGGGCTCTTTGTATAATGTCAGGCACTGGAACAATTTCTTCAGCCACTCTGTGCGAACCCGCTTCAACAGCACCTAGCATAACATTCGAGGTTTCAAAGTCGTTCATTCTGTTAATCGAAAAAGAAAAACCTGGAAAGATTTCTTATTTAATCCTCTTTTGTGTTTCTTAGGGACGTTATGAGATTCTAAGTTTTGGTGGATCTTATTTGGTGAATGAAGAAGGTGGATCCAGAAGTCGAACAGGCGGATTGAGTGTCTCTCTTTCTGGTTCCGATGGTCGTATTATTGCCGGTGGAGTTGGCATGCTTATTGCAGCCAGCCTTGTTCAGGTATATTGAATTCTTCTTCTTAATGGTTGAAAAGTGAAGCTAAAACGATGGGAAACAACTAACTACGAATGTTAGCCTTTGATATGTCTGTTCTGTTTCTTTCTTTCCTCTTCAAGATTTTAGCTCTTGCGATTTCATCTCTTACCCAAATTCTAATATTTTTTCGCTTTTTTGGACATTTCATGATCCTTAAAAACCTGTTTGTTATATTGAAGGTGGTGGCATGTAGTTTTGTATACGGAGCAAGTGCAAAGTCTCATAATAACAATAACAAAACCATCAGACAAGAAAAGGAACCAAAGGAAGACGACAACAATAGCGAAATGGAGACCACACCCGGTAGTGCACCAGAACCAGCAGCATCGGTGGGTCAGCAGACGCCACCGAATTTCTCATCTCAGGGAATGAGCGGATGGCCCGGTTCAGGCTCAGGCTCAGGCAGATCACTTGACATTAGCAGAAACCCACTCACTGATATTGATTTGACTCGTGGATGATACACTATTAGTCTTTGAAGCAGCAGCATACAGAATGTGAGTGCTGTACATATCTTTGTTGTTGTAGATTTCTCTCTGAGAATGTTTAAAACCAGACATTTAAGGATTGAGACCACTTTCTCTCAGTTCCTTGCTTCTAACATTGTTAATGTAACAGAACCCTCCCACTTTCAGGCTATTTAAGGATATTTTTAACTCTCATATGATCTCATTAAAGCTTTCTTTTATGGTCACCAAGAACTTGGTTTCTTCACTATTCTTTTGGTTCTTTAACATCTTTGTAAACTTGATTCCTCTTATTTGGTAACATACACAAGATTTGGGATGTTACTTATAGCAAGATGATCTCATAATTTATACATGAAGAGCATTAAATATTAATGAATAAATTTCTTTTTTCAGTCAGAGATCTAATGAGACATTAGATTTTGTTATAAATCATTCAAGAAAGTCTATATCCTTTTTTAATAAAAAAAATATATTCTTAAACAAACTAATTTAATATTTTAAAAAGACCAATTGAATTTTTTTTGACAAAATTAAATAACTAAATTAATAAAAGAAATAGTATATATAGAAAACAATGGTCGTCACGCTCCTTTCTTCTCTTCTTCAGTCTCTTTTTTTTTTCTTTCCTTTTTTTTGAGATTTGCTTTCTCTGCTAGAGAGACTGTAACAGTAGTAGTAGCTACTTTTGCCTGTTGTCTTCATTTCAAATCTTCAATTTTACTTTCCCAACATTTAGCTTCTTTTTGTTTTCTAGGTTTCATAAAAACAATTTGGATCTTGAGCTCACAGCTCAAAAAACCCGACTTTGATTACTGGGTATAGAAAAACCGCCATTGTTGTTCTCTTTACTACTTTGGGAAATTAGGGTTTACGATTTCTGGTTGGTAGATAAACTTGTTCTTCAAAAAGTTTCCTTTTTTAAAATCTCTTAGATTCTTAAAGAATTGTAATTTAGGGTTTTAAATGCATGGATGGGAGAGAAGCAATGGCATTTCCAGGCTCGCATTCTCAGTTCTATCTTCAGAGAGGAGTTTTTACCAATCTTACACCTTCCCAGGTCGCGAGTGGCCTTCACGCGCCGCCGCCACCTCCGGGAATGAGGCCAATGTCAAACCCTAACATTCATCATCCTCAGGCTAGCAATCCAGGACCTCCTTTCTCCATAGCTGAGCACAGGCATTCGGATTTTGGACACAGCATTCACATGGGGATGGCTTCCTCTGCTTCTCCTGCTGCGGTGCAGCCGACTCTGCAGCTGCCGCCGCCACTGTCGGAGCAACCTATGGTTAAGAAGAAACGTGGACGGCCGAGAAAGTATGCTCCTGATGGACAAGTCTCTTTAGGGCTTTCTCCAATGCCTTGTGTTAGTAAAAAGTCTAAGGACTCTTCTTCAATGTCTGATCCTAATGCACCTAAACGAGCCAGAGGTCGACCTCCTGGAACCGGAAGGAAGCAACGCTTGGCTAATCTTGGTGAGATCTCAAGTTTTTCTGTGTACTTGGTCAAGTTAAGTTGTTGCTTTAGCTCTGTTGGCTAATCTTGAAGGATCTTATGATTAGGTGAAAGTTTGAATGGTAGAAGTTATGTGTGATTCCATGGTTAAGTTAGGTTTTGTTGCTTTAGCCCTGTTGTGATTGCTAATCAACATTGATTGTTAGGTGTTAGATTGACTGATCCATGTGTGGTACAATGCGAGTTGAGATGAGTAATTGGTCATTAGAATGTGGTTAGTCAACTCGATATTAGTAATTGTGGACGAAATCGACTTCTTGATTTATGGACACAATATGTAAGCTTTGGCACAACTTTCTTCTATGTACATTGTGAAGAACACGAGCTGGGGTCTTATGATTAGGTAGATTTTGGTTGCTAGAAGCTTAAGATGATTCTATGGTCAAATTAAGTTATTGATTTAGCTCTGTAGTTACTGCTACTCAGCATCGATTATTAGGTATTAAGCTGTATAAGAGTAATTCCACTGATCCATTTGTGTTGAGATAAGTAATCGGTCATTATAATGTCATTTGATTCTGTTCATTTCTTTAGGTGAGTGGATGAATACATCAGCTGGACTTGCTTTTGCACCTCATGTGATCAGTGTTGGATCAGGAGAAGTAAACTCTCATTCTCCCAAAACTCCTTTCAATCTTAATAATTTATGCAGCTTTTCAGTTTCCTTTTATTTTTCTTGCAGGACATTGTTTCGAAAGTTTTGTCATTTTCACAAAAAAGACCTCGGGCTCTTTGTATAATGTCAGGCACTGGAACGGTTTCTTCGGTCACTCTGCGTGAACCCGCTTCAACAACGCCTTCCTTAACATTCGAGGTTTAAAAATCGTTCCATCAGTTAATCGAAAAAAGAACCAAAACGTGGAAAACTAAAGATTCTTTATCCCTTCTTTGTGTTCTTTAGGGACGTTTTGAGATTCTAAGTTTAGGTGGATCTTATCTGGTGAATGAAGAAGGTGGATCCAAAAGTCGAACAGGCGGTTTGAGTGTCTCTCTTTCTGGTCCTGAAGGTCATGTTATCGGCGGTGGAATTGGAATGCTCATCGCAGCCAGCCTCGTTCAGGTATTTTAAAATTGGTTTGGTTCCATTGAGTTTTGTTTTGGTTCCATTAATTTTTTTGTTTTGGTTGTAATTGTTTGGTATAAGATTTGTGCTACCTTGAATACAAAAGTTCAAAATACGGTTCTGGTACGGTTTGAGAAATTTTGTTTGGATTGGTTTATATGTAATGTGACTCTTAAACTGAAAAACTTGTTTGTTATTCTGAAGGTGGTGGCTTGTAGTTTCGTGTACGGAGCAAGTGCAAAGTCTAATAATAACAATAACAAGACCAGCAAACAAGAAATAAAACCTAAAGAAGAGCAGAACAATAGCGAAATGGAGACCACACCGGGTACTGCACCAGAAGCTGCAGCATCGACGGGTCAGCAGACGCCACCGAACTTCCCAGCTCAGGGAATGAGCGGATGGCCCGGTTCAGGCTCAGGCTCAGGGAGATCACTTGACTCTAGCAGGAACCCACTCACTGATATTGACTTGACTCGCGGGTGATTCAGAACAAAAACACTATTAGTCTTTCTTCCTATTTACTCCCACCACTACCCCTTTAGTCTTGGAAGAAGCAGCAGCAGCATACATTATGTGAGTGCTGTACATATCTTTGTTGTTGTAGATTTATTTCTGGGAATGTTAAACCAGACATTTCAGGATTGAGACCAGACCTCTCAGTTCTTTATAACATTCTCGATGTAACAGAACCACCCCACTTTCAGGCTACTTAAGGAGATTTTAACTCTTGATATGACTCATTAAGGTTTCCTTTCGTTTCTTCAGTAGCTGTGTTCACTTTGGTAGCTGTGTTTTTTAGAGATGAAGTAACCTATCCAAGTTTGGTAATTGATCGGTGGGATATGACTGGGTTTAAATAGCTTGGATCAGTTTGGTTTGTCCGAATTAAACACCACTAGTCTTTTTGTTTGCTTTGCTTTGGTAGAATAGGGTTTTGGTTAGAACATGGACCTGTTTGTCAAACCTGATAATGCTGGTTTATCTAAATAACCGGATTAATTGCGGGTCTCGAACCGATTTAAATTGAGGAAAACAAAACAGAACAGATCAATCCAAGTCAATGTCATGGCTCTTTATTGAATTAGAGAGGTTCATAATCAAATACAATTCGATTCAGCAACAAAGCTGCATCATTCAGGAGATATTCAGAAGCTTCTTTATGTCATGCTGCAGAAAAATTGAGACAGGAAAATTAGCAGAGAGAGTGAATGAAAGAGTGAGAGAGAGATAGATTGTTTCTTTACCTCAATAGTAAGAGGGGAAGTAGTTGGATAATATCGTTCTACAGCTTGACCGTTCTTGTCAACAAGAAACTTAGCAAAGTTCCACTGAATGTCATCGCCGAAGATTCCCCATTTGCCTTTCTTTAAGAACTTATACAGAGGAGAAGCATTCTCTCCGTTTACTTCAATCTAATACACAACAGGACATACAAATGTTTTTTAAGAACTTCAGGACACACAGAATTATAGTAAATTCATGTAGTGATCGATACCTTGTTGAAAATGGGGAATTCAGATTTGAAGCGAGTACAAACAAAGTCAGTAATTTGGTCGTTAGTTCCCGGTTCCTCGTCACCAAACTGGTTACAAGGAAATGCTAAAATCTCTAGACCTGGAACATCAATAGAGAAGCTAATCGCGTGGACTTGGAAATTTGTTGAAATCACTATTTACCTTTGTCTTTGTACTTGCTATAAAGCTCATTCAATTCGGTGTAGTTTGAGTTAGTCATCCCACTGAGACCATCAGAGAGTATAAACAAGACAAGACACAAACATTTTCGACAATTTTGCAAAAGAAAGAAGCTTAATAGAAGGAGTAAAAACTAACCATTTGGAAGCAACATTGACAATCAAAAGAACTTTGTCTTTGTATTGACTGAGTTCTAAGCTGTTTCCCTTAGCATCCTGTTACAGGAAGAAGAAGAGATTATTCAGCTAAAGCCTCAGAGGCCAACAAAAGAATCAATCAAAGACTATAGAAAACGAATGTGAGAGACCAATCAACAGAAGAAGACAAAGCAAGGATCAAACTGATAACATGGTCCATCATGATCTAATTGATTCTAGTGAGAAAAGCAAAAGCTAAGCACTCTTAAACCAAACACCCAGATACAACAGAAGACAAATCGTTACTTCAGACAATATAAACATATCAAATTCCTTCGCATCCAAGACACCTTAAAGTAAAATCTTTTCCTATCCTTAGAACCCTATATAATATCAAAGGTGCTTCCTTTTAACACAAAATCACAAACCCAAGTTATCAGAGAGTGTTATTGAATCGATGATTCAAGTTAAAGCAATTTATTCACCTCGATACTAATCTCGTAAACAGATTCTGGTTCCTTCGTCGCCATTTCACTAGAAATGCAGAAGAAGCAGTCAACGAGCAAAGAGAGCTCTTGGATATATTCGCTTCACACGCGCGACTACGTTCGATAATGAGTCGTTAATCTGTTTTAAGTGTAACTGGTAGTTATGTTTTGGGCTTTGGGCTTTTATCCTTTTTCCGAAACTGGGCTTTTATTTAGTGGGCCAGTTTTGATATATTTTCAGAATCCTTTAATTTTTGGCAAAACCCCCCCAAAAACTATAAAATGATGAGTTCTATATTATATTTTGAGATTTCTAATAAAATTTTGAAAATTTGGCAATGAGGTTCAAAGAAAAAATAAAATCAAACAGTTTTAGCAATCTTCCGGAGTAAACTATCCATAGTAATATCAAAAGCATCTCGAAACCTCTCAAACTTAGCATTAGAATCTCCATAGACCAAACCAGGCAAAAGCTCATGAACAATGTAACTCCTCATATCCTCTCTTTCCCTTAGAGTCTTTGACATCAACTTCTCAATCACATTCACTTTCTTTGCCTTCACATCTTCTTTGTTTATATAAACTGAATAGCTCCGGTGATCCTCCGGTAAATGCCACGTGTACTGATAATACGCGCTGTACGGATCAAAGATCACCGGGATACAACCCGATATGAGGGAATCGAATATCGATTTCCTTGTCGGACTGTCTCCAGGCGGTTGGAGGCAGAATTCCGAATCCCGGAAAAGCTCGATAACTGTTTCTGGTTTATCGCAGCCTCCGTCGGTACAATTCAAAAACCGGCATTGGTTTGGAGATGATTTGCATTGGTCAATCAATGTTGATCGGATGCTATCAGGCTTGCCAGGTCTTGCTCCACCGGCGAAGCTAATTAAGCTCTGACGTTGTTTTCCGATAATCTTGTTTTGCCAGATGGCGATATCGTTGTCCGTTTTCGGGTGGAAGAATGTCGGATGAGGTATCGCGATGTCGTTGACATCCCATGGATTACGTTCAATGAGGAGTTTTGTAGGGTTTTTCATTTCTTGCATCTCAAGTAAACTTGAGCCCCACGAAAACTTATTGTTCCTCCTAAAATCCCAAGAGATCTTTCCGAGAACAAAAACATGATCTTTCCCGGCGTTTTTCCTCCATGATTTTTTCGATCCAAGCCATTTAACGACCTCGATCGCCAAAACATCCTTCACATCCTCAGAAACGTTCTTGAAATGCCATCTCAAAACATCTAGACCACCATAGAAAGGCACATAGAAGAGCTTTGCTTGGGTCTCATCATGAACCCTACATGGATGCTTCAAAACTCTAGAGTGAAAGATTGGCTCAAGAGCGTATTGATGCGTTCTGAACCAGCCTATACCGAGATTCTCAATCAATTCACCAAACGCATCGTTCTTGAAGTAGCTGCAAAAATTGGCCCATGGAACCATATCGGAGCACTCCCCCAACAAATCTTTGTTGAATTTAGACGGTAAATCGTAAACATAAACCCCTTTTCCTTCGCAAGATCCCGGCTTTCCGCGGTTGCTTCCCATCGATAACCAAGATCTTTGTATTTGAAGATACTTGTCCACGGCTTTTAGAGCAGTCTCCTCGCTTTCGTCCTTAGATTTGAAATATCGGTATCGTTCTTCTCCGGTTTCTGCATCCAAATCAACAAAGACATCGGTATCAATCTCGTTTTTGGGGTTAGAATCTTGATCAAGAACGGAATCAAGATTCTCCTCATGGATGGGTTTAGAATCTTGATCAAGAACGAAAACTCTTTCTGCGAAGGTTTCTCCGGTGGAAGTGTCATTCTTTATGACGTTGAGGCTTGTTCCGACTGTAGATTTGTCTGAATCTCTTTCTCCGACGAATGTTTCATTTTTTGCGAAACCCTTGTCTCCATCTTTACCAAGAACTACAACATTCTTCTCTTCTCTACTTCTTACAACATCTTCACTAACCGGTTTAGTGAAATTGTTGACTGGTACACGTAAAGCGGGCTGAGTACCGGCAGTGAGACAATAAAGATCATTGAGCTTCCGCGAAGAGATGCATATATGAACGACATGACCGGAGATAGCGGTCGTGGAAGTGGACCAAAGATAAATTAAGAAGAGAAAGATAATCGTGAGAGGTACACGATAGAGAATTGATCTGGAGAAGATCGAACAAATGTTATTACAACAAGTACGAGAATCTTTAAGTGTTTTCTCGGATTTTTCGGTATCGGTTTTTTTGGATGTTCTTGGTCGCCTCTTTGAGATGGAGACAGGCATTTTCTTGTTTGATTGCTTTTTGGATTCTTTTTTGTGTGTAAGCTTTTGTAGATGTTATGTTAGGGACATGCAAGCACGTCGTCTAATAATTGTAGTATATATGATCATTGAGTTTGCACGTCTTGGTGTTCCAAAAATAAATTATATGATTTGGAAGACTTATAATTGATATCAAATATACTTATCTATATATTTAAATTAATTATGTATATCAAAAGATGTCTTAATTTATCATTCGTTGAATCTTATATTAAAATTAATGCAAGTGTGTTTTTTTTTTTGGTTGAACAATTGATATGTGTTAGACTACTTTCAATGGTACGGTACCTGGTGTTGAATTTCTTTTCAACTGTTGTAAAGACCATTTACAATGAAGGTGATAATTTTTTAATTCGAAAGTTGAATTGGTGTAGTGATGGTGTTGATTTTAGGTGTTGAAATGAGATGGATTAATTGAAATCAACATGTTGAAAAATGAGTTTGGAGGGGACAATGTGTCACGCGTGATTTTTTGATTCGTTGTTTCGTTTATCAGGTTATTTATTTCATAGTAATGAAATTGAAAAAAAAAAAAGCTATACCAAAATTCTTCAGTTTTTGTTCTCTATAAATATAATTTGATTCATTTAATTTGGACATAGATAAAAATCTTTTCACTATAACTTTTCTATTATCTTTCCATAAATTCTCCTTCTAAAGTTTTAAACATAATTTTAGTAAAATGAATCTCACTTCCGTTTTCACTAGCTATATTCCAACAATGATCAATTTAAAAATAATGTGCTTGCTAGATTCGAATTATGTGATCTAAATATGCATCATGAATTGCAAACAGATCTGATAAGCATATATGGGAAAAATTCGGAATGTTTTCATGATTAAAGAATATTTTGAAGTTTTAATGTATGAATTTAAGAGTTTGATTGTATTGACGTTCCAAATCTGACGTTCGTTTTCGTTATCTAAATGATCTGACACGTATTTTTCAAGGATATAGTTTGAATAATAATTTTTAGATATCATATTTGTATCTCTACTACTACCGGACTCTTTATTCGAAATAATTACCTTGAAACAAACTATAGATAGGAAAGTTCAATCCGAGGTTCAGTTTTTTTTTTTTTTCGTCTAAATTATTCCATTATATTATACGATTGAGGAATACAGAGGTGAAATACGTTTTTAATACACAAAGCCGGCGGAAGACATAGATATCCCCGGAAACTAAGCCCAAACGAGGGAAGCATGAAAACAGAACGGGGCATAGCCCTCAAAAGACGAAACAAAAGGCAACGACTAAAATTAAGAACTCTAAAGAAGAGATTTGCTGACTTATACTCCTCTAAACCAAGATGATCAAAGCCACTCACAAACAATGCAAGCAACGAAACCTCCTATAGTGAATCAAAACTACCTCTCACACGAAGTGAACCTAGACTTCTATTCCGGCAAGAAAGAACCAAGACAAAGTATTCTAGTTCCTCCAAACTTCTTCCGAAAGCGGCGATGTCGAAAAGAAACGACTTTTAAACGCCTAAGTAAAAGTCTTTGAACTGACCAGACCTCGATCAGGTCTTGAATGTAGAAACAAGGAGCGAAACCAACCTCAAATCCGGAAGATACCATACTCAGAAAAGCACAGCACAAGATCGAACCGGAGAGACCACCATAAAGACCATCAGCAGAAAAGAGGAGCAAATTCAACCAATCCAATACAAAAAGAGAACAAGCAAGTCAAAGCCACGCTCCGGACTAGCAACCAAAATCAGAGAATAAGGGGCAGTCAAACTATATATCCGGAACATACGACCAAGGCGTACGAATAAGCCGACGAAATAGAGCCAACATAAAGCCATTCATCCTCTGATCCAGCCTAAGTCAACTATTAAACCACCCGAACAACAACTAAACCAAATACTGAGTCAACAAGACAAAAGAAGCTAAAGGAGCAGTTTACCGGAGTCAAGGACGCAAAGGAACAGAACGTGGCGAAACACACGAAGAAGCAGATCCACCAATTACTAGATCGGCGAGTAACCACAACGAGGAGGATACAAAACGACGAGGATACAAAACGACGAAGATTAGAGCAGATCCCGGAGCACATAGACAACAAGGAGCCCGCTCTATTCCCCCACAACCTAAAAGACTCGCTGCCACTTTAACCTCGACAACAACCACACATTGAACAACGGAGGAGACTGAGCAGGGAGCTAACGAAGAAAGGAAAAACCAACATGATCCTCTCACAGCTCCGGCGAGGAGCACCGGAAGCCGGAGAGGACAGATCTATAAAACAGGCGAGTCTTCTTCTTTGGCGGCTAGGGCGACTTCGAGGGAGGAGGAAAATTGGAAAAAAAAAGTGATGTCGATCCGAGGTTCAGTTCAGATGCGGTTATCCTGGTTTTAAATTGTTCGGTAAAGAAAAAGTAGCTACCAAACCAAAAAAAATCATATTTCTATCAAATACACTAATTATGATCGATTTAAAATAAAATATATACCAATTTTGTTTTCTTAATTTCAGTATTGGTTTTCTTGTCGATAGATTAGGTATAGACAACTTTACATCAATGTGTGTGTACTTAAAAAAAATCAATTGTTAAATAACTTCATTGCACTAAAACTGAAAGAAAAAAATGATACCCGACCCATTTAAAGAACTGAGCACCAAATGAGGCTTCTCATAGGAATGATACCCGACCCATTTAAAGAACAGAACGCCATTTTAAAGAACAAAGCGCCAAAGGTTTAGAGAAACCTTAATATATTATGTAAAGATAGTTCCTTACTTCCTTACAACAACAACAATTTCAACGTAACTAAAAATAGGAATCATGGCAGAAAATGGCCCAAAATTTCCGTAGGAGTTTCCTTGAATCTTAACAGGCCTAAGACTATTCTTTTGTGATCGTAATAAAGAATATAGAAATCTTCAAGGTGGTGTGATACAAAAACAAGCTCCCATGTATGAGTAGTCTCGCTTATGATGCGTAAATAATGCCCCAATGAGTTCATATAAGGATGATTAATAAAGAACAGATCTTGGACCATACATGTTTCTCAACATCTTCCAAAACCCACAATTCAAATCTTTGTTGTTCAATTTCAATGACTAGAGTTACTTACGATAAGATGGAGGAAAAATGACCACCCAAATATTGTACTACTACTTGATCAAACTTTTCAGATCTCACATTGACTCTCACCAACCACCATTCACTTATCCTAGTGCCATAATACACAACGCCATTGATGCACACACCATTATCAGTTAATGGACTTAATTTCTAGATAAGGAGTGAAAAATTACAGTACGGTTTATTGGTTCATCAAATTCAATAACCGGTACTCGGTTTCGTTCAGTTTTTTTAAACTCGCTCCACCTGAATCTCCCGGATCTCCAGATGATCAAGCTTCTTAGGTCGCTTGTAGTTCTTCAGCAAGAGAGAGCAACACACAACACTAACAGAGGAAGCAGCCATTGCAGCACCTGCAATCCATGGAGGCAACCTGAAACGTGTCGCAGGGAAAAGCACTCCCGCAGCGATCGGTATCCCCATGAGGTTATACCCGAGAGCCCATACGTAGTTGAGGCGGATTCTTGAGAACGTTTTCCTTGAAAGATCAATGGCTGTGATCACATCTTCTAAGTTGCTTTTCATCAGAACTATATCAGCTGCTTCTATGGCAATGTCGGTTCCTGCACCTATCGCCATGCCTACATCCGCTGCCACTAGAGCGGGTGAGTCATTGATTCCGTCACCCACCATTGCCACAACATGTCCCGCAGCCTGAAAAATCATTGCTTTTATTCAATTTTGTAATTCATAGATGTGAACTTTTTAACATTTAGTGTTGAGCTACTAATGTACCTGTAATTCCTTGACTTTCTCTGCTTTTTGCTCTGGTTTAGCTTCTGCGATAACAGAGTCGATACCGACTTCTCTAGCAATGGAATTTGCTGTTCCCCAGTTGTCACCAGTTACCATGATGCTTTTGATATTCATGGATTTTAAAATGGAAATGGCTTCTCGAGCACTCGGTTTTAGAGGATCCGAAACAGATAAAACTCCAATCAATTCACTGTTTATAGAAACAAGAATCCCGGTCTGGGCCATATCTTCAGAATCGGCTAGCAACTCTTCAGCATCGACTGGAATAAAAACTTTATGATCATTCATCAGATTCTTGTTTCCCACCATGATCTCTCTACCTTTAACGGTGGATTTCACTCCCTTTCCAGTAATGGACACAAAATCACGGGCTTCAGGCCACGCAGGGTTCTCTTCGTCGTCTCTGAATTTCTTCGCGTACTCGACAATGGCCTTTGCTAACGGATGCTCACTGTTGACCTGATAAAAAGATAGCATCAACATAGTGATATTATTTTTGATGTAGGCCATGAGTTTCCAAAAGTTAGCCTGAAAAATTTGTACGCATGTTTGATGGTTACAAGGGATTACCTCAGTTGCAGCAACAAGTTCATAGAACTCTCGAAGTACCATGTTTTTCAGGAGCTTTGTTTTCACAACCACAGGCTTCCCCATCGTGAGAGTTCCTGTCTTGTCAAAGACAATGCAGTTTACCTACACCGTCATTGAAACTTTCAGGTTTTATCATTTCAGAAAAGAAATGATACAGAGAACCTGAGTAAAGTATAATAAGTTTACAAAGCAAGAGACTTAACAAGTTACTGCACACTAACCTTGTGTGCTCTTTCTAGGGCTTGACCACCCTTGATCAGTACACCTTGGGATGCACCAACCCCAGTACCAACCATAACAGCAGTTGGAGTAGCCAGCCCAAGAGCACATGGACAAGCTATAACCATGACAGAGATCCCGAACTGAAGAGCAAGCTCGAAGCTATCCATTGAAGAAGGTATCCAGGATTCAGGGTACCAATGCAGTTTCCCAGCTAAGAACCAGGCAAGCCAAGTAGAGAACGAGAGGAAAATTACCTGCAACATTATAATTCAGTGAGTTGATATAGTAACAGTTCCTTGAAAACTTAACTTTCTGTTTATCAAAATGTCAGATTACTCACAAGAGGAACAAAGAACTTGGAAATCCGATCAGCCAACTTCTGTACTGGAGCTTTGGCCAGCTGCGCGGACTCAACAAGTCGAACAATCTGAGCAAGGGCACTCTCTGAACCAACCCTTGTAACCTTAACATGCAGAACTCCATTCTCGTTCAAAGTGCCTCCTATCACTGTATCACCCTTCCTCTTTGCCACTGGCCTTGCCTCTCCAGTTATCATACTTTCGTTCACATGACTTTGTCCCCATATGACATAACCATCTGAAGCTACTTTAGCACCAGGAACAATTTTGATCACATCATTCTTCTGTATCAATCGACCATCAATCTCTTCTTCACCAGTCACATTCCCTTCCTTATCCAAAGTCAACAATATCGCAGTGTCCGGTGCCAAGTTCATAAGCTTTGCGATCGCTTGAGATGTTTTTCCTTTAGCCATAACCTCCAAATATTTTCCTAGTATGATAAAGGAAATGAGCATGGCACTGGTCTCAAAGAAATCTACTCCCTTGAAATCAGGAGAGGTTGCAGCTCTCAACACAGTGTATAATGAATAGAAATAAGCTGCATTTGTTCCCAGAGCAATCAGAACATCCATGTTAGCCGATCCTCGGCGTATAGCCTTGTAAGAGCCAGTATAAAATCTCCAACCGATGATAAACTGGACAGGGGTGGCCAAAACACACCTTATGATTTCTCCAATGGTCAGCATATTGATGACCTTAAACATCAGCAAATCTTTAATTCCAGGGATATACATAAAGACCATCGCTGTCAAAAACACTGGTACAGTAAAAACCAAACTCCATAGAAACGACTTATAGTACTGCTTAATCTCTCCTTGCTTCTGAGATTCTCTGCCTACACCACCCTCGGAAAATATCGTTGCCTTGATGTGACCACTATGACCAAAGACAGTAGACTCAATCACCTGAATAAAATTCCTCGGCCCTGTCACATCAGGTTTGTACAATACAGATATCTTATCAGTTCCATGGCTGATCTCAACACTTTGAACTCCAGGAAGTGCTTCAAGCGACCTTTCAATGATCTCCATGGATTCATCAGTAAGCTCACCATCAATCTTCAAATCAATCTTGCTCACATCCTCACCGGTACTTATAAGTACAGCTTCAAAACCAGCATTTTCAATCTCTTCCAGTAGTTTATCATAGCTCAAGAGTCTAGGATCATAATGAATCTCAGCTTCTTCAATTGCTAAAGCCACATGAGCTCTTTGTACACCATTTACCGATTGCAAAACTCTTTCGATTGTTGAAGAACACGAAGTACAAGTCATACCATTAATTCTTATCCTGCAAACTTGTTTAGATCTCTCATTCGCTTCATTTTCTATCAACGATGCTTCAAATCCTGCATCTTCAATAGTCTCACGAATTGTCTCCACCTATAAATCACGAATTACCAAATCAGAACCCTAAATTACTAATTTATTCTGCTCAGAAACATTTCAATTGAAAGAGAATCATAGCTTACATCGACAGATTTAGAGTAAAACAGAATCTGAGCACGATTATTCAGAGCATCGATGACAGCTTCGTGAATTCCAGGGAGACGCTTGATAGCTTTCTCAACAGATCCAGCGCAAGCAGAGCAAGTCATCCCCAACACTTGAAAAACCGCCCTGGAAATCGCATCATCCATCTCAAACGCCGCCGTCTCCGAGGATGATCCGCCGCCGTCGCGAGACCTGGTTAGGTGCTTCCGCACCAGAGGGTAACGCTCGCTGAATCTCTCTTTCCGTATGCATGTAAGCGACAAAAGCTTCGTCGCCATGTGATCGTCTTGTGCGCGAATCTTGTTCTTCTCGTATCGAATTTGATTTTTTGTTTACTTTTAGGTTTGTGGGAAATGATGAGACTTTGAATTGTTTTGCTTTTTAAATAGAAACGAAGAGGGAAAAAGGTTTGCGACTGCTAAATGACAAAATAGGTGGGCCGATTTGTAAATATTTAAACTAGAGGGTCCTACCCAAAAAATACTTTACTTTAAAATTTCAACCTCAACAATTACGTTCCAATTTTCTCTTTTATTATATAATTCAAATTTAATCGTCCAAAGTAACAACATCTTTGACTTTAAGGTTCTCTAAAATAAATTAAATAACTAGATCATCACCCGTACTTTAGTACGGGTTAAATTTTATTTATTACAAAATTTATATAAGATATATATTAGAACTAAGTTTTAATATATTATAATAGTAAGTGAAAAAATATTAATTTTTTTGCCAGTCCCTATATACAATATTAGAATAAATATATATTTTTTTCTATAATACTCAATTATGGATAATTTTTTTTAAAGATATGAAAACGGAAAATAATTTTATTTTTTAAAAAGTAATATTTTTTGAACAATGAGTTAATTTATATTAACAACCACAAAATAGGATTGCATATATTTCAGTTAGATCAAAAATTAAAATATCATAAATGAATCGCATATAAAACATAGATTATTTTGAATTAATTAAGAAAATTAGCTATTATTTTGAATTAATTTAGAAATTCTTTTTCAATTTATAATTCTTTGGTTGTTGAAATAGAGATTTGTTTGAGCTAATCTAATTACAAAATTTGTTTGAGATTTATAATTACGGAATTTACCAATTATTCGCATAATCGAATATGTTATAAACATATATTTAGTATATAATAATACCAAAATCAACCCGTGCGTGGAGTCTATATTTTTATTTTAGAATCTCAAAATTTCATTTTAAAATACTGCGTGCACAATCTATTATTCGTTAATTCTAAAATTGCTTGCGGAATCAAATTTTCAAATATTTAGAGGTGTCAAACCATATTTAAATGTTCTATACTATTTTTAAATATTTCAAATTAAAATCTTTAAATTTTTTTTGTAGTTTATAAAATTATGAAGTTCAAAAAACAAATTATATGAAATTAAATATAAATATTCAAATAGTTATAAGGATCAAAACTCATTTCATCGTATAATATATTATATTTAACCCGCTACCTATTATAAATATTTTTAAAAATAATCAAATTAGAGTATTTATAATTTTTAACTTTTTGAACTATTAAGTATTGATGATATCTCTACAATAATTAATTGAGAAGTAGAAACGCACCATATTCAAAGTTAGGGCATTGGAGGCCTGTGGTTAAAAGTTGGAATGATTTGTCCTAAACACCCTTAATGAATTGTTCTTCTCGAAATTTCTTCTTCTTCGTAATTAGGGGTATATAAGTCTAATCGTGTGTTGATCTCTATACTAATGTCCTAAACACCCTCGATTTCGAAATTTTTTGTTCTTAATTGTTAGGGGTATATAAGTCTAATCGTGTTTTGAGATGATTAGTCTTAATCACCCTTAATTTTTTTTTTATATAGTGTAATCGTTGGGGATACGAATGTCATAATGTCTCGACTTTAAGGATTATGGAATCTTAGCTTTAATTTATTTGTTATTTTTTGGATAATTTCTATATCTTAGTAGTTAATATTCGTTTTTGTTAGTTTTCTGATTTAGTTTCTAATTAAAAAAGTTAAATTTCTTAAGATAATATCGGAGGTTTGCCCTAAGTTTGAGGCTATAAATACAGAGTTTCTGCCCCACACTTACGAACCAGCTTTTTATGTTCAATAAATAGTTTTGCTATTAGGTTTTTTTATATTGCTTATCGAATTTCTTATCATGCGATTATGTTTTTTGTTATATGAATTTGTTGGTTGTTCTACGAATTATTTATTTATTTTTACTGATTTTGTATCTTTTGATTTCTGTTTTAGGTATACCGATCGTGAAGTTTCGATAAAAACGAGTTTAGACAAACGAGTTGCTGAAGTAAAAAAAAGTATGATAAGGTATTATTAGTGTTTGTTTTAATTTCAGTGCGTTTGTATTTTTATTTTTTGGTTTGATCGATTATTGATGATCATTGTGAATTAATCTCTATTTCATGTATATACATGGTAGAGTTTACTAATATTTTTTGATTATATAAAATTTATATCATTAGTGTTATGGTCATGGATCTTAATTTATTCGATGTTCTGGAGTTTTTCTTGTATCTGTCGTATTCAACAATAGAACAACATAAGCACTTAGCCGTACTCAACATGTCAGGGTTGAGTATAAACGCTTCAAAATCCTCCATATTCACTGCGGGTAAAGATAAGCACTTAGCCGTAATGGCCGCGTCTGAGCATGGCATTGGTAGCAGTTCCCTTCCCATTCGGTATCTTGGCCTGCCCTTGACAACTAAATCCATGACGCGTCTTGATTATGCGCCTTTCATTGAAAAAATAAGAGGTCGTTTACTGTCCTGGACAAGTAAGTCTCTCTCTTATGCGGGTCGAGTTCAATTGATAAAATCAGTGATTATGAGTATCTCCAATTTCTGGCTCTCGGTTTCCGGCTCCCACAAAGATGTCTTGATAAAATAGAGAGCTTGTGTTGTGCTTTTCTATGGTCTGGTTCCCCAAACATTCATAGCAAAGCAAAGGTTTCTTGGGAAGAAGTTTGTTTACCGGTGGAGGAAGGGGGTTTAGGCATCCGCCGACTTCTAGACGTGTCACAGGTTTTTTCTCTAAGTCTGATATGGAGATTATTAACCAGTTCTGGTTCACTGTGGGTCGCATGCACAAGAGAGTATCTCCTGAAGCAACGTCATTTTTGGGAAGATAAAAACAGTACAAAGGGCTCTTGGATTTTGCGAAAGCTTTTAAAGCTCAGAACTGTGGCGGATGATTTCTTCAAATGGGAGGTTCGAGATGGTAGAAGTACACGCTTTTGGTGGGATAAATGGTTAGAATCAGGCCGTTTAATTTCCATCACAGGAGCTGCAGGGCCGGTTTCCCTTGGTGTGCTTAAGTGTAGCTCGGTTGCAGAAGCGGTACCACTCATTGGACTGTTCGCAGATGTCGCAACCAAGTCTTACGGAACATAGTCTCCACGCTGCAGTTAACACCAATCCCACACCCGGACAAGGGACTAGACATCCCGCTTTGGAGACATGATGCCACTGAATACAGGCCAAACTTCTCAACGCGTCAAACTTGGAATCAGATACGTCAATCAAGAAATAAGGTACTGTGGCTTTGGTTCCCTCAGAGAGTTCCACGCTTCTCCTTCATCGTCTGGCTCGCAATAAAGGACAGGCTCTCTACGGGAGTACGCATGCGAGCTTGGGGAGTATTAAGACCGTGCGGGTTCTGTGGCGAAAGAGACGAGTCAAGAGACCACCTCTTTTTCCTTGCCCGTACACCTTCACCATATGGTCTGAACTCACCAATCGTTTACTACGGCGAAAGCTTAATCCAGACTGGTCTAGGACACTAGCTTCACTCCGTCCAACTCAGTTCAACCTCACAGACAAGACTTTGCTCATAATGCTCTTCCAAACAACTCTCTATATGATTTGGAGGGAGAGGAATAATAGGAGTCACAACCAAGGTTTCAACACATCAAGTGTTTTCTAAAAGTTCTTTCTCTCTGTTTTCAAATCGGGATTTCGCGGTCCTACATCAAGTGCGTTGATCAAACTGATTGATAAAGCCATTGGAGATCGGATAACATCATTGCGATTGCCGCCTACCTCGAAGATTTGCGACCTGCAGCTTCGTTGGGAGGAGCTACGAAGATGTTAGAGTGGCTCTGTTTTTATTTTATACTCACGTAGTTTACTCTGTTTTCTGGTGCTTTCTTAAACAACTCCCACGTTATGTATAGTCATTTTTCACATATATAAATTTCACATTTAAGCAAAAAAAAAAAAACAATAGAACAACATAAAATATTTGATGATTTTGTTCGCCGTCTATTCCTCTGATTTCATATCCTTTCCACAAATATAAAATCTAATTTTCTTCCACATATCGATATGTGTTTGTCTCTATCATCCTCAAATCTCTTATGTTATACAAACTGAAAAATAGCCTAGAAGATCTCATACATCATGCAACAAGTAAGTGTCTTCTTCTACGTAATCGGTGAATCTCTCTGTTTTTATTTTTAAGATCTATTATTTTCTATTTCATGTCACTTATGTTTCGGCATTGATGTGTGTCTTATAGGAAGGCAGCTGGGTTTAGAGAATGAAGGCAAATAAAAGCTAAAATCCTTTTTGGGTTATGTTTGCTTGCAAATTCAATCGGTAAAATCAATTGATCTTGCACAAGCTTTAATTATTAATTGTATTATTGGTTATTTCTTCCCTCAAACGTTTGTAAATGTGTTTTATATAGTTTGCTCAATTGATATTAAAACAAACAAGACATTATTGATGCAGACACATAGCTTATTTGGTGCAATGTTTTTTTTAAGGTAGTTTCTTTTTTTTATGCTTCTGGTTTCACCTTCATCTTGACAGTTACGTTGGAACTTCGATCAACTTTATATGAAAAATAATCTTGAACTTGATCGAAAGCCAAGTTTGGTTCACGGTTTATCATTTTACTGTCCCATAACTACGGTATGAAGAGGACGACTACGAGGGGTAAAGTAAGTTTTTAGATTCATAATCTTTCATTGTGTAGTTGATTATTCATACTGTTATTTGAATATATAGATATGGTTGATACATGTAATCGAATGTTTGGCGTGTGGAAGCATCGTTATAATCTGATGAGTATATATTTGTGGCCATGGGTCTTCAAGGTGGGTCCTTAAGCTTGAATTCAAGAACCAATAGTTTCAAGATAGACGATACTACTACACACCAGACTTTTCCTAAGATTACTACGTAGCGGTCGTTGAATTTCAACAGCTGGGAGGTTCCTAATTAAGAGACTACGACTGATTCAGATTTGGCCTTGGTGACAAAAAAGTCAACGCCTAACACTTTGAATGGAAGAAACTGTGAGAGAGTCCAAATAAAGAAACTCACAGTTACTCCACCTGATCCTTATGTGTTATGCTCCCCTAGACCGGTCACCGAGCTTGATGCAGCTGCAACTACGTTACAACGGTGTACAAGAGTTACATGACCAGAAGCTCGGTGATTCAGCAGATTGTGCTGTCGTTGTTAAGGAGCTCTGGTGAGTTGCTTGATCCAATCTTCTTCTTTTTAATTTCTTTAAAGATGTTTAGACTAACCCTAATTGGTATTGCTTGAAATGTTGTAGGTGGAAGACTCCGGAGGGTGATGCTCTGGATTTGAGCTTTGTGTCATTTGTTTTGAAGAAGAGAACATGAGACGCTGTTTTGAAATGGGCGCGAGCTAGAAAACGAGCTGCTAAGGACTGTCTTTGTTATGAAAAACCAACGTGGGTCTCACTCATTAGGTTTGGAAAGGCTCAGAAATTAGCTCTTCAGCATTGGCTTCAACATTGGCTTCAGCATTGGCTTGATCAAGTTCAAGAGCCAAATAAACCCTATTTTGATCATTAGTGTTCCTAAGAAGAATAAGATAAACAAAAAGGTAATTCTAAATATTGAAATCGTTCATTTAATTTAAATTTTTCTGTTTTTGAATGATTTTTTAAAACCATATGGGTACTTTAAGAAGAGGATGATGAAGATGTAAGCGAAGAAGAACAAAAACGTGTATACAAAGATACATAAGATGATGATGGCGAAGATATAGATGTTTTCTTATTAAAGTTTCTAAAGCAAGTATGTTTTTTTTGGTTCTATCTGCTTTTAGTTTAGGTATATTGAAATTTGTTTGTCCTATTTTATTGACCTTATAATATAAGAAAATATTGTTGGCGATTCATTTTTGCGATGGTCTCTCCATCTCGAGGAAGAAAAAAAACAAGTAAATTATTAAGTGCTACTTATCGTATTATACATAAATAAAATATAGTCACTTCAACAAACAATAATATTGGTAACCGTTTAGGACATATTCAATATCGTTTGGTTGTATTTCCAGATAGAGAGTTCGTAGGAGAACGTGATATTTACTACATCTTGCTATCTATCACACGAAGATGAGTTAAATTTGATGTCTACCTACCGCCGTATTTTGATGTTTTGTTTTTACATATATATTTTATATATATATATAGTGATTGGTATTGGTCATATTAATTATTAACGATAATGGAACTTGATTCCAAATCTATAGTTCCTATTATATTTGAAAACGAGTAAGAAAAAAAAGGAGGAAGTATTTTTAATCGTGATGAAATCATTCTTTGTGTTCAATAATAAGTTTTAACTTTTGTACATGACTTTTAAAATTTTCTTTTGTGGAGATAATAAGGAATCCCATGGCATATTATTTCTTACATTATCATACTAAATTTAATAAAACATTCCCGTCTAAATTTAAAAAATTTAAATTATCTAATTAGCCAATGTAAATTGCTATTCTTAACAAAAAGGTAAACCTATGAACTATGTGCAATAAACGAAATAGAAAAGTTTAAAGAAACATTGTGCTCAACGTAGTTCAAATTGATAGGAAATAGAAATAACAAAAAGCAAAGATAAAATCATGTTTAAGTTATATTAAGTTTTTTACAAAAAAGTTAAACCATTTTAGAGTTATATTACCTTTTAGAATTATGATAATGCCAATATATAAATGTTGATTTTTATCAAAAAAATAGAATCATTTAAGATTATTTTGATTTATTTTCTTTAACTAAAATATCGTTGATTTTAATAGGAAATAACAAGTGGAAATATTTAGTGTTTTAGATGATAGTGATATAAAAATTTCAGATTATTTATTTGTGAAAACGATAATGGTTAAACTTGCCATTTATCTCTATCAAGAAATTTGGAAATATCTAAAAAATGTACAAATTTGTTTTGTAAAGAAAAAGTTTATGTTAAATTTTTAAAACTTTGATTGGTTGCATCCTTACTTTTGTTCAAAATTTTCTAAATATATAAAAAAACATTTAATATACATACGATAATATCAAATTTGTAATGAAAATAAATAAAAAACTTCAATTATGCTATTGATTATATCAAATTGTAGTTATACATTTATTTCAATTATACTAAAATAAAGTTCTTATTTATAAATGGAGGCAACTATAACATTTAATTTCAAAAATAAATGTAATGAATTGAGAAATTATATCAGATAGTACTACGATGTTTAATTGTTTTTATTAGTTTTTGTGTTGACTAATGTTTAATGTAATAAATAATAAAATATTTGGTCTAAAATTAAATGAGACTAAGCGATTAAGGGTGAGTGTGTTTCGTGAGGGAGATATGTGTCTCGAGAGGAAGTTATTTGATTATATCTCTATATATAGGCTCAATGCACAACAAATGATTGCAGTGGAACTTTGAAGTAGATTGAAATTTTATACAGAGAAGTATAAAGATTTTTTTGTTTTATGTTAAAAGGCATATATTGTAGAATATAAAGTGATAATTGTTTCTTAGGATAAGTTATTCAAAAATTGAATTATCGTTTTTATCTTATTGGCCTTAAAAATTTTATGCACGACTCGGAATATTTTTTGGTTAAAAGAATTATAATTTGATGTTTATGTTACTTCCTCCGCAAGTAATTTTTTAATTTTGGTTAAAAAAAAGTTCCAAAACATGTGGATGAATGCACAAACGTTGTGGCTATGGTGGTCTTGAATTGCACAAATCGAAAGAGAAAATAGGCAACGATTATAGTTTTGAACTTTTGGAGGTTGCAGGAGGTTTGTTGGGAATAAGTTAAATATATGTTACTCTATAACTAATTTGTTTTGCATATTATGTGGTTCTAAAGAATTAAACTGAAACTCTTTTTTTGTCAACAAACTGAAAGTCCGAATTCGAGCATTTTTGTTCCTTTTTTAAAAAAAATTAATCATTAATAATTCAACTTTAATGACCGAAAATATTTGGGGCAAAAAATTTCTATTTTCTATAATATTTTTGCAATCATTAAACTATTAAGGTTTATTGTATGTTGATTGATGAGTTTGGCTATAACAATGATAACAAAAAAGAGGAGCAAAATTGACGGTTTTGGAAGTCTAATGAAAGAGCTCTTGATAAACGTAGAAATCATTTGTTGATTGATGAGTTTGGCTATAACAATGATAACAAGATAAAAAAGAGCAAAATTGGCGATTTTCTAGAGCCTAATGAAAGAGCTCTTGATAAATGTAGAAATCATTTATTGATTGATGAATTCGACTATAACCATGATAACAAAAAAAAAGGAGCGAAATTGACGTTTTTTTGCAGTCTCATGAAAGAGCTGTTGATAAATGTAGAAATCATTTTCTTATTAATGAGTTTTATAACCTTGATAAAAAAAAAAACAAGACGAGCAATATTGACGGTTCTCTGTAGTCTGATGAAAAAACTCTTGCTAAAAGTAGTAATGACTTGCTGATCAATGAGTTTGGCTATAACAATGATAACAGAAAAAAAAAAAAAAAAAAAAAAAAAAAGAGGAGCAAACTTGACAGTTTCCTGCAGCCTGAGGAAAGATCTCTTGATAAATGTAGAAATCATTTGCTCACTGAAGAGTTTGGCTACAACCATAATAACCATAATAACATTTAAAGAAAGAGCAAAATTGACAGTTTTTGGTGCAGCCTTATGAAAGATCTCTTGATAAACGTAGAAATTATTTGCTAATTGATGATGCAACTATAACCATGATAACTGTAAAAAGAGCAAAATTGACAGTTGTCTTGAGCTTGATGAAAGTGGTCTTGATAAACGTAGATATTATTTGTTGATTGTTGAGTTTGCCTATAACTATGATAACAGAAAAAGGAGCAAACTTAACGGTTTCTGCAGCCTGATAAAAGAGCTCTTGATAATCCTAAAAATCATTTGCTTATTGAGGAGTTTGGCTATAACCATGATAACCTAAAAAAAAAAAAAGGAGCAAATGGACGGTTTTCTGTAGCCTGATGAAAGAGCTCTTGATAATCCTAAAAATCATTTGCTTACTGAGTAGTTTGGCTATAACCATGATAACATAAAAAAAAGGAGCAAAATTAACAGTTTTCTGTAGCCTGATGAAATAACTCTTGATAATAGAAATCAATTGTGATTGAGGTTTTCGGCTATAACCATAATAACATAAAAAATGAGCAAAATTGACGGTTTTCTGGAGTCTCATGAAAGAGCTCTTGATAAACGTATATAAATCATTTGTTGATTAATGAGTTTCGCTATAACCATAATAATGGAAAAAAGGAGCAACCGAGCAAATATGACTATTATTTCCAGCCTGATAAAAAAATCTCTTGATAAACGTAGAAATTATTTGCTGATTGAGGAGTATGGCAATAACCATGATAACAAGAAAAACGACCAAAAATGATGGTTTTTTGTGCAATCTTATTAAAGACCTGTTGATAAACGTAGAAATTATTTGCTGCTTGATGAGATAGGTTATAACCATGATAACAAAAAAATGAGCGAAACTAACTGTTTTTTAACAGCCTAATGAAATAGTTGTTGATAAACGTAGAAATTATTTTCTGATTTATGAGTTTTATAACCATGATAAACAAAACAAGAAGAGCAAAAATGATGGTTTTCTACAGCCTCATGAAAAAGCTCTTGATAAACATAGAAATCATTTGTTGATAATGAGTTTGACTATAACTAGGATAACAAAAAAAAGAGAGCAAAATTGACGGTTTTCTCCTGTATGATGAAAGAGCTCTTGATAATTGTATAAATCATTTGCTGATTGAAGAGTTTTGCTATAACCATTATAACCGAAAAATAGGCAAAATTGACGGTTTTCTGCAACTTTATAAAAATGCCCTTGATAACCGTAAAAATTATTTGCTGATTGATGAGTTTGGCTGTAACCATGATAAAAAGAAAAGTTGATGGTTTTCTGCAACGTAATGAAAGAGCCTTTGATAAACGTAAAAATTATTTGCTCATTGATGAGTGTGGCTATAACCATGATAACAAAACAAGAGAGATAAAAATGATGGCTTTCTGCAATCCATTGAAAGAGAACTTGATAAACGTAGAAATCATTTACTGAGTGATTAGTTTGACTATAACAATAATAATGAAAAACAATGAACAAAATTGACGGTTTTCTGCAGGCTCATGAAAAAGAACTTGATAAACATAGAAATTATTTACTGATGATGCATTTGAGTATAATCATGATAACAAAACAAGAGAACCAAAATTGACTGTTTTCTGCAGTCCGATGAAAGAAATCTTGATAAATGTATAAATCATTAGCTGACTGATGAGTTTCGCTGTAACAATTATAATGAAAAAATGAAGCAAAGTTGACAGTTTTCTGCAGACTCATGAAAAAGCTCTTGATAAACGTAGAAATCATTTGTTGATTGATGAGTTTGGTTATAAAAATAATAACGAAAAAAAAGAGCAAAATTTGCAGTTTTCTGCAGCTTGATGAAAAAGCTCTTGATAAATGTAGAAATCATTTGCTGATTGATGAGTTTAGCTATAA